GTTTAGTTAACTATTCAGTCCTTATACACGATCCTTTGAGTCAATGTTTTTTTTATTATTGTTCACTTTACAGGTGTTTAGTTAACTATTCAGTCCTTATACACGATCATTTGAGTCAATGCTTTTTTTATTATTGTTCACTTTACATGTGTTTAGTTAACTATTCAGTCTTTATACACAATAATTTTAGTCAATTTTGTTGTTTTTATTATTGTTAACATTACAGGTGTTTAGTTAACCTTTCGGTCCTTATACACGATTCTTTGAGTTAATGTTGTTGTTTTTTATTATTGTTCACATTACAGGTGTTTAGTTAACTATTCAGTCCTTATACACGATTCTTTGAGTTAATGTTGTGGTTTCTTGATTATTATTATAATAAAGACAATTGCCACTATTTTTTGCTTCATGTATTCAGTGTTATGTATAATTAGAAATGGCTGAGCAAAACCCGGACGAGCAAAACATTAGTTAAGCCTATGTAATGCACGAGTTTGATTAAATAAATCAAATTATCAGATTTATATCAACTCTACATATTTCAACCCAGTCGTCTTCAGGAGAACAGTTACTTCGAACCCTACTTCCTTTTCTTTAAGGCAGATACTTTGTTATGTGGTTCATGACCGAACCACCAGAGGGTGTTATTGATCCTGACTGAACATGAATGTCAATGTTTGTCATGTTATACAAACAAATTAATTTTGTGTTCTACGTATTACAGTTTCGCTATTTGTATATCCATATACTAATTTAATTCCGTAAGCCTGATTAATACCGTTTCTCCATATATATTCGCCTGATTAATACCGTTTCTCCATGTATATTCGCCTGATTAATACCGTTTCTCTATATATATTCGCCTGATTAATACCGTTTCTCCACATATATTCGCCTGATTAATACCGTTTCTCCATATATATTCGCCTGATTAATACCGTTTCTCCATGTATATTCATATGTAAAACTTTCGCCCACCTCACCTTCCAGTGACTCAGCAATAAATCTGAGGGCTTATAACGCTAAGAATCGGATTTCGGTACGTGTGGTGGGAAAAGCACAGAAGCCTTGTGCTTAACAAAAAAACATAAAACAATCATATTTTGTACATACATACACACACACACACATACATATATCGTATGCGTCATATTAACTAACTGTAATACAGTGCAGTTTGATTTCATAGTTTTCATTATGCATATATTAGCCTATCTTACAAATACATAATCCAGAAAAGCATTAAAACAACCCACTGAGTAAAAACAATACACCTATCAGAAGGTTTTAATTACAATATAGTTCTTGATATACTGCTAACAGTTGTTATGAGCTCTTGTTTATTCTCAAGATCTGTTATGCCTGAATTGACTCGAAAGTTATTAACTCTATATGAATATAGTGATACAGATATTATGGTTTGTCAGACGACTTTCTAAATGAATTGTTACCACAAAAATCCAATTACTCATGTAAATATTTCAAAACGAGATTTTTCTATTATATAAACTAGGCAAAATTAATTAACAACATCTGTATTTTTTAAAACCACATAGCACCTTATCTGGTACACCAACTTTTTAAAAACACATAGCACCTGATCTGGTATACCAACTTTTTTTAAAACCACATAGCACTTGATCTGGTATACCAACTTTTTTAAAACCACATAGCACCTGATCTGGTATACCAACTTTTTTAAAACCACATAGCACTTGATCTGGTATACCAACTTTTTAAAACCACATAGCACCTGATCTGGTATACCAACTTTTTTAAAACCACATAGCATCTGATCTGGTATATTAACTTTTTCAGAACCACATAGCATCTGATGTGATATCCCAACTTTGTTGTATCATTTCTATTTACTTATAAAAATATATAGCACTATGTAACAACTTTCTTAAACCGACGCTAGTTCTGACAAATCACAGTGCAGAGTCAGAAAGCGAGTTCATTCCCGGAACAATGACGTCACGAGAATGCATAATGTAGTTTTACACTAATATCTTTCTGCATAACAATAACTTCAAACGACAGCAAATTAAACCCAAAAAAGTTATATACATTGACTATTTATAATAGAAAATTTGAATTGTTTAATTTTGTTTATGTTAAATATACAGTTTCAATTTCTATATGTTATACATTCGTTGACTATTTATAATAGAAAATTTGAATTGTTTAATTTTGTTTATGTTAAATATACAGTTTCAGTTTCTATATGTTATACATTCGTTGACTATATGTAACAGAACATTTGAATTGTTTAATTTTGTTTATGTTCATATAGAAATTGAAACTGTATATTTTAACAGAACATTTGAATTGTTTAATTTTGTTTATGTTAAATATACAGTTTCAGTTTCTACATGTTATACATTCGTTGACTATTTATAATAGAAAATTTGAATTGTTTAATTTTGTTTATGTTAAATATACAGTTTCAGTTTCTATATGTTATACATTCGTTGACTATTTATAATAGAAAATTTGAATTGTTTAATTTTGTTTATGTTAAATATACAGTTTCAATTTCTATATGTTATACATTCGTTT